CCCCGCTGCCGCCGAGGGCCTGGGAGCAGCCTTGAGGGGACATGTGTGTTCCCTTCCTCCGTCCCCGCTCCCAGCTGGTGCCCTCCGGGAGAGGCACGAAGGCACGGGCCTGTCCTTGGGTACTGCCAGCCTGGGAAGGCACCTTGGGAAGGGACGTGTTTCGTAGCAGGGCTCCCAGGCAGCTGTTCAGAGACACAGGAGAGGGGCAGGGACGAGGAAGGATTGCGGCCAGGAGAAGCCTGGGCAAACAGACCAGGTGACACCACCCAGAGAGAGGAAGCACCACCGCTGGAGCTGCAGCAGGGAGCTTGCCCACCACTGTGAGACTTGGTGACCAGTTCTTGCTCAGAAGGGTTTAGGCTCTTAAAACACCAGGTCAGCCTTCCGTGTCTCAGACCCTACTGCCAAGAACTCCACTGAGGAACTGCTCTCACCTAGAGCGTTCTACCCATCAGCTTTAGCACACACCTCCAGCCCTCACCTCCCACACTAGCATGCCTCAGCACAGATCCAGCGCAGTGCAGCATTGTGCCCATGTCATGCTATATCACTCTACTGAACCCACACAGGATTCACTGGTACTACAAAAAGTTCCATCTTCAGAGACAGACTCATCCCATATATTCTGGTCAGTAGCAGTGCACGCTAGCCAGCAAGAAGGTGCTATTACTTGCTAAGCAAAGAAACAAAGAGAAGTGAGGAGGCCTTTCAGAGTTAGGTGACTTAATATTTGTGTATTGTTTAATTTAACTTCTAAAGAAAGCTCCATGTGTAACCAAACCACCTTCTTCCAACATCCCCAAACCAAAGCTGGATGAGTCTCTAAAGTCCCTGAAAATTTATATACTGGAAACACAGCAGGTACTGGACAGAGGTATGAAGTACAAAAGGGGAAGTCATCAGAATAGGGGAACACTGCAATATCAAAGTATGTAAAAAAAAAACTTACTTTTTTTTTTTTTAATGCTTGCTTTAGTGGTCCATAACACAACCAGAGGGAAAAAAAAAACCAAACAAAAACAACAACAACAAAATGAAAACCAAAAAAACCCCAAAACAAACAAAACAAAACAACCCCCAAAACCCATTTACAAAGGAACCCCAGTCAGCAAGCTTCTTCAAGAAGAGATGTGAATACTTATCCTATGGCACTCCTTCATAGATTTGCGTCCCAAGAAAAGCAAAGCTTTCCTTAATCCATGCCAGACTCCCGGCCAGCAGGTTGGGTGACTTACGGCACAGTGCTCTTCAGCAGCACCTTGCATCAGGTGGGCTGGTGTGCTTGTCCCTGGATGCAGCCCCTGGGAGAGTGCTGACAGGATCTCTCTACACCCTTGGGAGTTCGCACGCTCAGTTTTCTTGACTAACCACCACGAGCAGCTCAACTTGTCTCTTCAGTTGGACTGAGCTCCTCGTAGTGTTCCCACTGACTCCCAACTTGCTCGACTGGGTCCTCAACGCCTGACAGAGGCCCCTCTGGCATCGTGCTAGTGGCAGGCAGCAAAAGGAATTGTTTCAGTGACTACAGTGCCTCTGGGTTTGCCATCACGAGCCAGGCTCATATGGATTAGAGTCTGACAGCAAATTCATTTCTACAACCTACCCATCTCAAATGAAAGATGCCACTGACGTGCACTTCTTGGAGGAAAAAAAAAAAAAATACAAAGAAAATTACAAAGATACACAACTACCTTTTTCTATCCATACTTTATTGCAAGTGTATATATAATTATTTTAAACAAGAAATTCCTTTCATGGAAAGGAGAAACCTTTACCATTAAAATAGAGTGATTATACCACAAGTATTTTACAAATATGTACAAATATTGGCAGCTAGTTTCTAACATCAGCTAATAAATGCTTACATTTTACCCTCTACCAAACTAATCAAAACCAAAAATAGAGACCTTCTAAATCTAAAGACAAACAAAACATAAATCTATTACTAGCAGGAACAGGTGGGGTTTTTTTTTTCATATGAATACAAAAACTTGCATAATAGATATTCACAGTGCTTGTAAGATATTAATTCATTCTCAGTCTACACACATAAGTGTCCGGTCTCCCCTTCATATGCATATGTAACTTAAGGTACTGGAGGGAGCTGCGTAGACCACAGAAAGGCAACGGTCAGACCTGTGGAGTTTGCCTTCCCCATCAGCCACGAATAAATAAAAGAAACCCTCAAGTACATACAAGGCAGTGGATGCTCGTGCAAGAGCCAATTACACTTTTTTCAGGCATTGGTGTATTTTGTAACCAGTGACAGCACGATTACAGCATTCACCACATCCACTGAATGCCAGAGAGAAAACACCGAGCTGTCTGGTGGCAACAGACACTTCAGTGAGGTGGTTCGGCTGGAGCGGGTAATGAACGTGATTGTCTGCGAGTGTGCGCAGATGTGAGCACACGGCACACACGTGTGTTCTGTGACACTTTTCCAAACAACTATACCCACTGAATTTTGAGCTTTTTCCCTGTTAACAGCCATTGCCAGAACCACGAGTAACTGAACATCTGCACAGGTGGGAGAGCAACATAGCAGGGGGGTTGCTCCAGACCCCCCCACCTTTTCCACAGACAGTTACAGGCATTGCTGCAGTAAGAGCCATCCCTCCAGCTGTGTGGTGGCTACGACAAAAAGGCTGTTTCCTGCAGCAGAGCCACTGGCCTCCTGGATCCTGGCTGTGCCCATCTCTCACGGCTTAGGGCCAAACAGGCCCCAGGTAACTGAGAGTGACCGACAGCAGGACTGTTCATCAGCAGCCAGATATCCTTTACCCATTTAGATCCATTTAGGAGAGTTTATTTTGGATGCAGTAAATATACCTCAAGTACTCTGTAAAGGCATTTTGGTTTTGCTTAGAAGAAAGGAAAAAGGAGCTACAGTGGACACACAGCTTCTAATTGTTCATTACAAAAAGAAAGAACAGTGTGATCAAAGAGGGCATGGTCAATTAAGTTGTGGCTACAGTGAGCTTGTGCCCATAATTCATTCCTCAAACACACAGCTAGGGTTTGGTGCTGGATTCACCTCAGAGGATGTACAGCCACTGGTGCCACTTCAGTAAATGCAGATACACCTGCATGCTCTGTCTCTACACCACACTCACTTGCACAGAAATAGTGAGATGAAAGACTTCATCGATTTGCTTTTTAACAGCTTACCAGAATGCCATTTACCGGACAACTACTAAGCCAGCAAGCCCACCCACCATCGAAGTAGCAGCTCAAACCCTCCTTGTCATTTTCTGGCTTCCTTCCTTTCCTGAATTCAGCTATCTCCAGCTTTTTAGTGATCAACACTGCACAACACACACTTACTCAAACAGCAATAGCATCAGTCTGCTTCTAGAGTCTGCCAAAAAATTATTAGCTTCCACCTGCGAGGTTGTCAAAAGCTGGGCACAGCTTACACATGCCTGTAAGTACAAGCATCCCAAATGCTGGGAACTGATGAGGGGAGGAGGAACTGTGGGGAGACAGGGAAGGAAATCAAACAAACTTACATCTATTTGGATGTAACCAGGTAACAGGATGTTTTCCACACCAAATGCTTGAATTAAACAGCATAATTATTTTCCTAGTGAGAGCCAGCACAGCCAGCTCCACCATTCAAAATCACCAAACAAGTACCCTTGTTTTGGCACACGAACACCCTATGCTTCCACCATCACCGGCCCTGCAGCACCACACACTCATATTTGCATGACCTATTCATGACTATGTTGGATGCAGTCACTCTGTCTGTCCTTCCAAAGCAACTTTCTCCAGTCCATGCTTGCTTCCTAAGCGGAGGAAAAATTTCTAAGGAACAGATTTATTAAAAACAAAGAAAAGAACAACATAAAAAAGTATGATTCAAAGTAAGGGATGATCATGCCTGGACAAATGATCCAGTCACACTCCTGTCTTCCAAGAGCCAATTAATGCTATTAACTTGTCTTCTGTACCCTGAGAAGCAGACAAGTCAATTATTTTACCCCCTTCCCCCATTTCCCCAAGGATATAAGCATTTATTTACCAATCTGCATCATGGCAGTAGTAGACAGCTGAGAGACAGTTCCATTTGTTGCATTAAAGAAAAAAAAGAAAACAACAAATAACAAAACACACATTGTATTTGGCTGGATGCTTACAATGAAACAACAACAACAAAAAAGGGAAGGAAACTCCTGGCAAAGCGGGTCTTGCTCCCAGTAAAGCAAATAGACAAGTTGTGTTCATTACAACAGACACAGGCTAGACACTTCCATACATAGCCCTCCAAATGTTCTCAGAGTATATCCTGGCCCGACAGCTGTTGGCAGTGCTGCAGCAGCACAAATTCAAGAGAACCAAACTATCTGTACACTTGTATTAACATAAATGGACCACGAGAGAAAGGCAGGAGATAAACTGACAGAGACATTAAATTTCTTTCCAATAAATCCATTTAGACACAGCATTTGCTTTACTAGCTCAGCATCAGTTTTGGTCCACTCTTTTTGGTTTTTATGTTGGTTGTGTCACTGCTCATGGTGCAGGCCACTTCCATTTTCTGCTCAGACAGACACTTCAAATGCCAACGTTAAGTGCTACACTCCAGTTGATTTGTCCTGTAGTCAGGTCTGCAGAGGTGATGTCACTTACTGATTATGGAGCTGAGTAACAAAGCTGTTCACAGTCTCCTGCAAGAACCAGAGTGACATCACATGTGTTAATGAGGTATATATTTCCATGATGAGCTCTTTCCTGGTATGGAAGAGCTCCAATCTCATTACACCACAAACTCCTCCGGGAGCTGGTCTTCTCCCAGGAGATCCAAGGAGAGGCAGTTCATAGATCGCTTCCCATAAAGGGCAGACTTGGTTTTGCAGTCTGCTGTGGAATAAACGCAGCCATAGACAGACAGCTTATCCTCCAGGCTGCAGCCAAACGTGTAGCTGTGGGATGTGTCTGAAGACAGCGTGGCACTTAGTGGTGAGTGCTGGTGCTTGTAAAGGCGGATGTCATCCAAACTCTGGCTGTGCTGGTCCGTGCAGCTCCTGCTTCTTGTTGATCTGACCTGGTAGTTCAGCAAGATACACACGAGTAAAAACAATGAGCTCAGATACAGCCTAAGGATGCTGGTTATGCATGCTACAAGTTTTACAAAATTGTTCTTCCACTCCTTCAAAACAGCCCCACCAGCTTTCTGAAGGACATTGGCTTAATGAAGAAGCTATGAACCATTAAGAAATTACAAGTGCATTATGCTGCTCTACCACGTTGAGCCAGATCCTGATCTGTCTGCACTGTGTCCTCAGTGTCCAGTACAATGGACAAAACACTTGACAGGTATTGACACCTGAATGACCTGACACTTCTTGGCAGATCCATTCAGTCATCAAATGGACAAAGTGCACGTAACAAAAAATAACGCCAACTGCTTGAACACACAGAGTTAGTAAATGCTAATGAGCTGAAAGGAAGGCTCAGAAGGCAACCATAAAAACTAATGGATTACAGTGTCTAAAATTCACTAAGTGCAACGCACAGTTTAATCTACGTAACATTGTTCAGCAATGAAGAAAACAGGAGCGACAAACCAGCAGTAATTCCTAGATGCAGTGTCTTGCTACACAAGCTGTAGTGACTCCGCCTCTGTGGAGGAATTCCTGAGACATTTCCAACTTCCTCATCTGTTTTTTCTTGCTGTCTCTTCATAATCAGCTTTTCAATGCTAACATTAAGGCTGAAGTCAGGAATATCCCTTTTAAACCAAGATACTTCTATTGATAACACAGAAAACTTCCTCCCAGTACCACTTCTCTCACCTCCGTGGGAAAGGAATTAAAAAAACTACCCTGAGGAAACCACGTGCTGGCTCAGCTGCACTCCCAGAAACAGGCACACACTGTATGGTCCCATGAATGCCAGGGAAACCCAGTCCTGCAGCATTTCGTTACCTGGCCTTGTAAGGAATGGGGTTTTTGTTTTGTTTTTTCCAAAGGTGCACCAAGTATTTGATGCATAGAAGTGGCAGCCAGGTCTTTGGAATTGCTTAGACAGTCCTGTGCTGATCAGAAACATTCTTATAAAACAGATGCCTCCCAACCAATTAATAGCATAAGCACATATTTGTAAAAGCATTAACATTAAAAACATTACTTTAGGCAAGATGCCCACTCCCTGCCTTGCACTCTTAAGTCATTCCACTCAAATATAGGAATAAGTTCATTATGATTTGTACTGCACGGTCTCTGGCTTTGGAAAAAATAACTAAGATCTTATTTAAATCTCTTATAGCACTTTATAGACTATTTTCACTGATAAGTGAAAAATTTCTTATCTCTTTTGACTAGGTGCAGGAAGAAGCACAAAAGAGGGGAAAAAAAGTCCTAAGAAGTGATTGAAGTCCTTGTTCAGAAAAGTTCAGGGAGTAAAGGGGAAAATGATAAAACAGATTTTTTAAATTCTTTTAGCAGATAAGGCTAATTTGGATTCAGGGAGAGAAGAAATGGTGGAGGCTTGGTTTTCTTTATAAAAAACAAACAAAAACCCAACAACACTTCTATCCCAGTGGGTACAGCTATACTTTGAAAAGAAATATTATTTGGCCTTGAAAAGACATTTTAATAAGCTTTTTCCAAGCACAACTTATGATACGACATATTTTACCATATATAGTTGTCTTTTCTCAAGGGTTTGATGAAAGGAAAGTGTTGACAACAAAGACTTCAGCACGCACATAGTATAATCACCCAAATTATAGTGATTAGAGCTTGAGCATCTGGTTTTGCTCTGAGGTGAGCTCCTTCTGGCTTCAGGAGCAGGAAGATGATCAAGTTTGCAACCCACGTCCAAACAGCATGGATGGTCTTGGCTCTACATTGCTTTGAAAATCTGGAAGTGACTTATTTTCCATTTCCCATCTGGAAGCCTAAGGCAGACCATAGTTGGCTTGCAAGATTTCCTCACTGATCGCTCCAAACCTCTCTATACTATTCTGGACCCAAATGCTGCTCTCATCCTATTCCTGAGAGCAGTAGCTGGCCAGCAGCTGGTTTTGGTTACGCCATTTAAAATCAGTCAAACCCAGACCAGTCAAGGGCACTTGATTTGCAGCTGTCTCCATTACACTAGACCTTGGTTCAATGCTCACACACAGACCCTCCTGCCAAGCACCCCCCCTTACCTGGTGAAGGGATTCCACACTTTGGCCTCTCATTTTTATTAGTGTGACTTGCACCACAGACAGTGATTCCTGATTTATAGCTGCAAAGGAGAAGGAGGAAGTGAAAAACATGGCCATAGGTTTTGTGGGCTATAGAAAAGAGAAGCTGTTCTCACAGGTCACATTCAAACAATGCTATCCTATAAATATAAATATACATCAATAAGCACCCTCAGTGCTCTGGGAGTTTTGCTCACAGGTACTCCTTTTTGCCCCTAAAGATCAATGTTTTAAAAACTCTCAAAAAACCAGCTTCTCACCAACTTGTCCCATATTCACCCATCTTGCTATAAAAGGCTGTGTGGCTTAAGGCCAAGCAACTCCTGCATGACCACATTGTCTAGCATCCCCTGTATCACAAGCCACAAAACTTGACCTATTAGTTCCTGTGACTAGACCATTAATCTGTGGTTGAAACCCTTGTCTGTTTTATGGTATACAAATTCCTTCACTACAAAAAGTTTACCTCAGTTGTCTTTTTGTCATTAACCGAGTATAAACTTAGCAAATTTGGAGAAGGGAGACCTTGAGGAGCACAGAGGAGAGCAGCACTGTACAATATAGGGTGCTGGCCTTTAATCTCTAGGTGAGCTGACTTCAAATTCTGTTGCAGTAGGGCATTAAGTAGCACTGGCAGTTGTTTGGAAGAAGATACAGCTTCCTTGGATCCCTCAGATTATGCCTGTTGCTAGAGTCTAAAGAAAAGCACTGAGCAGTAGCAGAAACCCATCTCACCTTGGCAACTAGTAGCATCTAGAGGAAGAGATTCAACAGATTCTCCCACAGTGGCCTCCTCTAACTGGTCTCCCTCTAAAGGCTCATCTACAGGCACCTCCTCTGGCTCATCTACTGCCAGCTCAAGCTCTAGGAGGAAGAGAGTGGCAGGAGAAGGGTTAGCATTACATTTCTGCTCCAAGCTGCTTCACGTTCTCTTACTCCCCATTCTCCTACAGGAGAAGGCAAGAGGGGGACTTAGAAGTTGTTCCACATCTCCAAATTCCTTACCATCATCCTGAGAGTCATCTTCAGCCCGCCCCTTGCTGCCGCTGTCAATGCCAGAGCTACCATAGCTGATGGTTGAGCTGCAGGATTTCTCTTTCCTATGCACCCGGTCAATGCTGAAGGGCTCATCCACTGACATCTCCACTGACACCCGGTGCTGGGAGTCAGCCTCGATGCCCGATGTGTGAGAGCTGCCATGGCTCCCTGTGGACTGGCGTGAGAGACGGTTGTCCCTCCGGCTGCCGCCGCTGCTCCCGCTGCCACGCGAGTTCTTATCGCAGGGGTCCAGGTCCATGTCTAGCGTGTCACTGATATAGGACTCCCGGTAGCGCTTCTTCTCTGAGGAAGAAACAAGATAAACCAATGGGAACTTTAAGCAAGCCTGAAGGAAGGGTAGCAATAACTATAAGCTCTAGGACTAGCACAACCCAACAATTAAGAAACAACTGCTGCAGTTGCTGAACAAATACAGGGACAGTTTTGTATTCTGTTTGCTCAACAGATACTGGGATGGCCAGTCTTATGGCCATGATATCTGTTTTATCATGGTTGTAGAAGAATCAGTCAGTCATACTTGCAGTAAACCCAGCATCTCCTGAGCTGGAACAGGCAGGTAGAGGCAGTTATGATACAGAATGAAGGAAAGGTCAAAAAAAGGGAGTTACTTAGCCAAGTGTAGTCTCTAAAAGTTTTAGTCTTTAAAAACAGAATGCATTGATTGTTTCTTTAAATGGTCACCAACATGTGGAGACAGCGAAGAAGAGGATCCCCATGGCTGGCATTTATTAATGATTTATTAATTATTTCTCCCAGGGCTTGTATCTGTTACCTAAAGATATGTGTGCTGAGGGTCGTCAAGAAATCCACAAGACACTAATAGACACAAAACAACCTTGGGCCTTTTGTCCACAGGCACTTGATTAGTGAGCCTTTCCACAGGTGACTGGCACGTGCCACTGCTTACTCCTGCACAGCTCAAGGCCACTTTTATAACCCCACTGAAGGGAAAACCAGAAATAACGAAGCCAGATGAGACCAAGGGCTGCCTTGCCCTGAACACCAGTTCCACACAGCCAGCTATCACCACTTCAGAGATGCATGGAAGCTCCTTAGAGTTAGCTGAGATGGCCAATAACCAGAAACATGTTTATTCCTGACTTCTCCCTGGAAGGAGTCAGCCTATATCCTCAGACAAGAGGACCTACTGCTGCTGTTTGACTTCTTGAAGCTAATGATGCAAGGCTTACAAATCCCAGAGAAGACAGAGAAGGTGTGATCGGAGAATGCAGGGAACAGGAGTCAGGAAAGAAGTAGGGGAAAAAAGCATTCAGGAAAGAGCTAGAGGGAAAGGGGACACCATCCTCTGAAAGAAGACCTGCGCAATGCATTAACACCAGTCACCAGTGAGAGGTAGGCCGAGAAGTTGTTTCCAGCTTGCAGAGCTGGAAAATGGAAGGGCACAAGCTGAGAGGTGATGAAGTTATGTTTGCCTAAAAGGTACCAGGGACTGTCAGAGTTCAAGTCACTGTTCCTATGGAGAGGGGACACCACCAGAAATCACAAATTCTGAGGGTCCTAATCTGCTCTCAGGCTGTTTCTGGCACCTGCAACTCCTGGCTCTTAACTGTTGGACACTATTATAGACTAAATTGTGGGCAGTATTTTGTAAAGGGCACTAAAAAACTAAGACACAGGCTCACAACTTGTATTGCTTCTTGAACACAAGAAGCTTTATAATGGAAAGCTTTTTATTCAAAATTACTTCCACTCAGAAGCATGTGTCAAATGTGCCCAAGCAGGGAGCACAGAGAGTGAGGATCTCCTCTTATTTAAAGAGAGATATTGCACCTCTACTGCTCTCACATACGCTTTCTGATCACAGTCTGATCACAGTCTGGGAGCCATAAACACTTCCAAGCAATGGACCTGAAATATATCTAACACCTCTATTTGTCTCACTGGCTTCCTGATAAGGCCATTAATCAGAGAGCAGCCACCATGAAACAACAGCAGAGCCTAACATGCCGTACTCGTCCCCTTACTAAAGTCACCTGCTCTTCTGTCACATACCTTCAGCCTCCTCCAGTTTTTGGATTTGCTTCAGCACCGGCTGGATATTCAGAAAGAGCCGGTGGCTGTTGCTGAGGAGCTGCAGCAAGTGCCGTGACCTGAAGGGGCAACCCGTGTAGTAAACCAGTTTCCGTGCAGAGGGCAAACCATCTGGCTGGATCTCAAATTTTTTCCCCTGCATAAAGAGGAGAGATGCCAGTGAAATGAGCAAGAGAGTGTTTTCAGCCACGCAGCTACCAGAGATAGCTGAGGTCTTGTGCATGCAGGTGACAGGACCTGACGTGGCTGTCGGCCTGCCTGCACAGCTTCGCCAGGTTCCTCGTTGACAGCCCGCTGCCAGATGGCCTCCATTCCATCATACTCACCAGAAACGCCAGCTTCCCAATGTGTGACCAGGGAAAGTCGTAGAGGAGCTGACGAACATGATTCACCTCCTGCAACACATCAAACTCAGAGTGACACAGGGACTGGCAGGTACAGGGTGGAGTCAGTGATGTGCAAAGAATTTGCAAACAACCAAGAATTTGAGATATGCGGAGCCTGGCGCTTCAAGGGGAGGCAGAGGAGCGGCAGTGGGGGGGAGGACAGGGGAGCTGGGCAGAGTTAATGCTACACCAGAAGGCTTTCAGGGCAGTCTGTTACCTGATAGATGTGCATTCCTCTCAGGGTCAGGCCCAGGATAATCGTCGGGCGATCCTCCTTCTTATCCTAAAAGACGAGAAGAGCATGGAGTCAAAGGTTAATCTACAAAGACCACGCTCTTGTTCTGGCACCTACTGCAAAAGAGGTAGCAGGACTGCTCATCAGGCAGATGCCATCAGCTCACTTAGTTTTTATTGTGTTTGTAAAGTGCACCTTTTACCTTGTTGACCCCTGAAATATCTACACCTAACATTCCCTCATGCTGGGCGTCTCAAGCATTTTACCAGCAAATGCCCTGGACAGGGAATCCTGCAGCTTTTAGTGATTTGAGGGCATGGACAATTACTGCCCTCAGATGTACCTTGTAACCTCTCATACTGCCACACGCTGTCCCCATGAACATACACCACTCTTGCTCTCCAGGTGACAGAGCACCTGAAACAGAAGGGATGCCAGATTCCTTCTCCTTGCCACAGCACTGCTGTTCCCATCCATGGACTTGCAGGACCTTAGGTCTCCCTTAGCCAAGAGGGAGCTAATTAATGCCCAGAGTTATAGGGACTTTCCTTCTAACCTTTTGATCCCAGTGTTGGCAGCAGTTGGTTTTAAATGTTTACAGCTGGGTTGAAATATTGCCGTGGTTTTCCTCATGCTATACCTTGGTATGACATACTCAGTTGCAGATTATATTCCTTTGCTTGAAGACCAAAAAATAACTAGTTCTTTCAGCTCCTCCTGTCATGGCAGCGTTAGGGAGAGGAACACATACTTTTCTTGCTAGGAGGAGCAGGAGGAGGGAAATTTTGGGGTAAAAACTTATGGGCTCACAGAGCTCAAACTTTATATCAAAACTTTCTCTCCTCATCTGGCTTGTCAAGACACAAGCCTTATGCCATCACATTGCCTCACTCTTTTCCCCTGGTACCATCCATGTCCCCAGTTTAAAGTCACTAAGAAATGCTTTCTGCCTCCTAAGGGCAAAGAGATTTGTAAATCAGTATTGGCCTGGAGGAGAGATACAGGGCTCAGTGCTGTGTTTTATTTTGGAGTTCCCAACCTCAGCAGCAGCAAAGAGGAGGGTGTAAAACAAAAGTGACTGCTTTTTTAATCTCAGGGCAGCCAGCACACCAACACCTTCACCTGGCACCCCTGCTTGCTCAGTTGGGAGCTTTGTGACTCAGGTGTTACTTAGGAGGAGGATATCTCATCATGAGATAACTGTGTTACACGGCAGGAAGAACACGATGTGGATCAAGCAACAAATGATGGAGTTAGGAATGCATAAAATCTAAGTTCAAGTCAGACAGGAATTTGGATATTAGGAACACCCAATTTCACAGCCCTGGTGCTTTCAGATGTAAATTGTATCATGTCCTGCCAGCTAGATTTCTTATGGCATTCAAGTGTAACCAACTCTCCCAGCTGCATCATTAACAGCACTAGAATCAAAACAGAGAGGACAGAGGAGAGGTAGGGGGAACATCTATGGTTTGGGATGAATTAAAACTAAGCCTGGACTACAAACCAAACTGGAACTTATTTCCTCCAGAAAATTCATGTTTTTCCAGTAACTAGAGCTGCTAGGTCTGGTCAAAGGACATGGATACCTCCCAGACATAATTCCCACTGAGCATAAACAACCAATAAGTTTAATTATGAGTCTGGAATACCTCCATTTGAAAGAAGAAAGGTCTAAGCTATTCCTAATGGTACAAGCAGGTTTCACTCACCTAAGTGGAAAAGAAAGCTTCTCTTTAGTCCTATTTCTAGACCAAAACTCTCTTAGCATGTGAAAATGAAGTGCATTCTGATTAAGCAGACTTGAGTAAGGAGTCCAAGACTCAGGGACAAGCAACAATCCGGGAATCCAAAAACTGATATACAGCTGAAAAAACACCAACCACTGTGACAGGGTTGGGGTCAGGAGTAAGAAAGTTGGGATGACTCAGTGTGTCACCTTCAGTTATTACATGGCATTTGTGTGAAAGCTGGCTGACCTCTTGTCACTATTTCAATGTACTGCAACAAAAAAAACCCCCAAAAAATCAAAACAAACAAAAAAGGGGGCTTCTCAGTGATTTCCCTGGTGTGAGTCTACTGACAGGCAGGGAGAAAAATTAAGTTTTACCATTCCTGTGGCCAGTTTCTTGGCTGAGGAACAAAACTAGATTCCAGCTATACCTGTATATTGGCAAGAGATTTGTTTGTGGGGACAGGCCTCATTGGCTGAACATTTTAGACTTGTTTGTCCTCTCTGAATCAGAGGCAACCATCTCTCAAATAAACAGATAATGAAAAATGCAATGGCCCACACAATTAATGATGGGAGAGAAGTTCAAAATAAGAAGTTCTTTGTCTAACCTTCTGTAGCCTGTAGAAGTGAACGGGCACATCTTCCAGCAGGCAGGACTCCTTAATGAACTTCAGCACCGCGTCCTTAGCGCTCAGCCCTTGCTGTTCTCGGTGCATCTCTGGGGCATGTTTCAAGATGTAGTCGCTCCCCCTCTTTGCAATTATCTAAACCACAAGGAAAACAAACAGATCAGCAACTCTTCAGCGATCCCCATGGGAGGCAGCTGTGATCAACAGCAAAGCAGAGACTGAAGGTGGAGGAGGTTCATACAGTCCCTCAAGATGTTAGTCCATGTTCACCTCTACCTCCCAAGAGAATAAACATTTAAAGCAGCCCAGATGATACTGATGTCTCCAAACAGATCCTAGATGGTAAAATCATAGCAGAGCAAGACTAGAGAAGTCACGTCAGCTCTTTTCATTTTTAAATACTGGAATTAGTTTTCCTAACTCTTGGCATCCATAAATGCTTATGGGCAGATAACAAATACTGCTGTGCATGCCAACACAATCAACAGCAACATCTCCAAACACTGCAGAAATGCTAGGTGGTCCTTTTAAGACCAGAAACTACACGTTAGGCTTATTTAGCATTTCTATCCTCAAAGGGGTGGATAACACTATCTTAAGGTTGTTTTTTTTTTTATCTATTAGGAGTGGTTGTCAGGCATGTGGCTTTGCTATGAAGTAGAAAAACCTACACTGGGCCTTTTGCTTTTGCCTTGTGAGTGCTCAGTTCCCACGCTTGCCCACATGCCCTCGCCTTACAAGGCTACAGGGCAGCCCAACCCCCTTCTGTGCCAGACTGGCCCCTTCCAGGCTGCAAGCGGCCGTGACAGGTAAGAGAGGTGTTGGCTGAATTCACTTCACAAAATACCCCACATTGGGGACATTTAAAGCTAGATTCCACCAGGTACCTGAGAGCATCCTGGCAGGAACAACCTGTCCTGGCTCAAAACAACCAGATCCCATCACCACCCAGTTCCCACTTCCATTTTATAGTAAGCCCCTTGTTTACTCTGTTCAGTAACACCTCTGCCCTCCCCTGCATGCCTTGCCACATCAGTTGCCCTCCCACGAGGAAGGCTGGGCTCGGTGGAGGACAACATTGATGCCATCAGCTGCGCAGCATCAGCAGAAAGAAAAGTACCAGCTCCACAGTTCAAAGCTGGGATGATCACCCCGGGGCAGCACTGCCTCTCCTCACTAGCATGAGGCTTGGGGCAGCCCTCGCCCAAATGATCTCAAGCACGTGCTGGAGGAAGAAATCGCGTTGGAGGAGGAGATCGCTCAGTATCTCTGTATGGGAGCCCGGGGGCAGGGAGAGAAGCGTCCCCATGCCTGCCAGATTTTGCTCTCTGTAATGATGTAATAAATCACCCACATACTTGCTTGGGGCTGTGGCTTAGCACAGGTGAGCCAGGCTTTGCCTTGGCCTTTGCAACGTTTACCAGGTGAGCAATAATCTGTGATAAAACTTTTAACTGCCCCAGAAACAGCTTGCATGAGATCCACCTTTTCCAGCCCTTTGTTAGCTACCTCCTGCCAGGCACCCCATAGCAAGGAACAGCATGGGGTGAAGACCTGTTGTCTGGGAGAAAGGTGCATTTCTGCACAGCAAGGCAGGCAGGCTGGGACCTGTGCATAAAGAAGACTCGACCAGCCTTGCCCCCTGAGTGCAACCCCTGTCACTGTGTTGAACCTTCTCCCCAAAGCAGGGGATGGTGCCACCTTTCAGGGGAGACATGACTCGCCTGGGGACAAGCAGCCAACTACCAGAGGCATCTGGGCTTTTCAACAGCTATCCCAAGGTGCAAGCTGGGCTAAAATCCACTGTGACAGTAAGAGAGGGGGGCTCCAGAACTAAATCAGGTTGCAAAGGAGGGTCTGTCCAGGTCCCAGGGATCATCCTGCTTCAGCAGACATCAAACATTACAGTGATGTGTCTGTAGCAAAGCTAGCTTCCCTTTTTATTTTTATGGACATTGAAGTGTTTATCAACAGTTTTCTTGACATTTCACCACAAGAGGAGAACTCTCTGCAGGTAACCAGCTCTGACAATTTGCTGTCATTTGACAACTAAACTGGCTTTCTAAACTGTTTGTAAGTCCTGAAGGGCACAAGCCCATGTGCACATGCTTATAAACAAACATGCAAACCAAACCCACTTCCAGGCCCTTCCTTTTTCTCCTACTGCAGTTGAGCCAGAGATTAATGACAAAGCAAGCACCAGAGGCACTGCACAGCAGTAGTACCCCTTAGGGTTTGGGTCTATCCATCCCAGAGGTGAGCATGACAGAGACAGGAACAAAGGGCAGTGGACTTGGTTTCATGGCCCTGAGGTTTTCTGTAGAGCTTAGGTTGTGCAGATCTTGCAGATGCACCACTGCAAACACACAATTCTTTAAGCCACAGATGAATTAAACAAAGACAGCCACACTGTCAGAGGTACTTATTCGATACCAACACACTCCCTCACCAGGGAAGGGTACACACCACCCACCTCACTGACAAGTGAGCTCAGGAGGAATGGGCACCTACATCCAGTGGAAAGAGAGGAATTACCTCCTGAGAGAAATTCAGGGTGACACCCTACTACTCTGCCTAATCATTGCAATGGGAGTTGCATGGCTGCAGTCAGGTACCACCTTGACATACCTCCTGCTGCGTGTGCAATCTGTTGACAGATCATCCCCCAAAACTTACCCATTGCGGGAAATAGGCCTGAGGTTCAAAATATTTGCCAGCATGGACCTTCTCTCTGTAGTTGCCCAAGTCTGCCTGTAAGCTGTAGGCAGCCAGCAAGAAGTAGATTTCTTCTTTGTGATTGCACCGAGACATAAGTACTTGCTCTTTGAGATGGCAGTAGTAGAGCTGCCGTGCCACCTTATCGCTGCAAGACACAAAGGCAAATTTACTTGAAGAAGAAAAAGTTCAGGCTCAGATAAGGCCCCTCAAACACATCTTCCTTCTAAAAGAAGGGATTAAATTTTGACATCCCTGATGTGTGCCAATGCCACCCTGATACAGTTCTGTGTGTGTAGGGAGCACCAAGCCAAGATCAAGGTCTTCTCTCCCTGAGCGTTGTACAAGCATGGGAAATGGTAGCTTCTATCTTGAGAAGCACGATATCTAAGAAGCTAGGGCAGAAGGTAGATGAAAGAAAAGTCACGTCACACCTGTTTGGGAGACTGACTGCATCAAGCACTTCTGTTTCTGAAGAAAGCCTGTAGCACTCAGTAAAGTCAACTCCCTTGAATCCCAGTCCTGTTTCTTGCACACCTGTCCTCCTTTCCCCTCTAAACCTGGCACTGCTTTTTCATTTCACCCTGCCTTAGGCTCAAGGTATTTTTCAACAGAAATTCCCTGCAAGGTAGATCAAAAGACACAGGAGCCTTGGGCTTGTTTTTGTCTTCTTCCTCAAGCTGCTAAACAGGGATAGTCTGATAAGGCATAACTATTGCATAGCACTGATAACCCCCACACCCCCTGCTGTGAGAGCTCATGGGAGGCAGGCTGCTGACATGTATGTACAGATGAGATGCTGGACACCACCATCTACTCATAAAAGTGGGTGTGCATGTATAGTTTGATGGGGTTGTGTGACTACCTCTGCCTGGCTCCACAAACCTCTCCAATTAAATTACTAGTGCAACAGAAAGTTGCTTGTGTTGCTAAAGGATATGTACGTTGGGGGTGGTAGAATTATATGCAATCTCCCTTTGTACCTAAAAGCAAAACTAAATAAAAAACACTTAACAGCCAAACAGACTCCAGAATAAAGACTCCTCTATATCCAAAATCAAAGACTATGGAGAGAGAAAAACAAAAAAACCACCAAGCTTTGTTCAAGACAAGAACAAATGCCAAAAATTTGGTAAAGATTTTAATCCACCCAAATGATCCCAGCTCTTGGCTTGCCCTGGGGTCACAGCCACGCCAGAAGTGCTGATGTAAATTAACTCTGTCAGTTGTTCATTTTTAACTACCTCATCCTTTGTTCTGTACTGTGGGTGAGGGTGGTGGTGTTTTGAGTGCAGCCCATATTCCATGTGAATGGACTACAGATGCAAAACTTATGAAGTAATTTCTTTTGTCCATTTGCAAAAGTTCATTTCCAGGAGCAGACTGCACAGAGCACTGCTCAGATACAAAAAACAGATCCAAAATTATTACCATGTACTACGGAGTATAAATAGCTACTTTTGGTGATTTCATCTGATGCTTTTCATACAAGCAAAAGATACAAGCAAAAGAGTGTTAAATGTATTTTGATACTGTCATAATTCAACCTGCTTTCTAAACGCAGATGGAAAAGCAGTCACAATCTTCCTAGGGATAAGGAGTGTGATTCAGGGGGAAGACATTCATGGCTGGGTAAGGAAGTCTGTGAAGGTTTTTTTTTTTTTAAAAAGTCAAGTGGATTTTTTTACGCTTATTTTTGTGAGCTCACAGAGATGAGCTTAACAAAGAACCATTATTTTTCTTGCCTTTTAAGAACACAGTGAATAATTTTAAATGCATTAACTACCACGGAAGGTAACTTACCTTATTACTCTTCCATTTTCTACATAGTATTGTACTCTAAAGAACGCAACAACAGGAGGGCTGAATTTCTCTGTTCCCTAGAGCAGAGACAGAAGACATGATAAATACCATTCACATCCAAAATTCCTGTTACCCCATTGGGTAACATTCTTGTCTCCCCAGCTTGCTCCTTGTACTGCTTTTCATTTTCTGCTCTTAGCTCTTGGCAAGTTTTGGGTGGGATCTGACTGTCCTGGAGGCTCACGACAACGAGGCATCATAAAACTTTTAGACAGGCTGAATGGAAAAACACCCTAGGGAAGGCAGAAGATTTTGGATGGCAGGGGGAAGTGAGCAGGTATACAAGAGTCCCAGGATAGCCTGGGGATGCCCAGCCTGGCCCAAAGTCACCCAGCTCAGCACCTGGCTGGGCCACAGACACATTAGCGCTGACCACAGCGAGTTTAAGGCAGCCTTCCCCAAAGCAGGCGGGCAGCGCGCCAGGCTGGCGCGGCTGCGGCATTTCCAGGGCGCTCCTAGGAGTAACCAGCCATCTCTGCACCGCACCACATCACTCGGCAGGGACACACGCTGCTGCCTGCAGCATCTACTGCCCGAGGCCGAGGCACACCAGCCCGATATTAACTCCTTGCCTTTTGTTTGGCAGGGATAACGTTTAGATATTCACACCTTCCTGCAGCCACAGACCAAAAGGAGACATGGATGTCTGCTTCACACTGAAGAAGTCTGTTAGAAGAAAGCCAGCAGGAGTCTTGTTGTTTTAACTACAGCCTACCTTTCAGACTTACAGGCTTGTTTAAACAGGAGAAAAAAGAAGAAAGAAAAAAAATAAAGGAACATCTTATCTTACTAGTTCATTTTCTCATCTTTCCTACTTTGCCACTCACTTCTTTAATGTTCATACAGGTAACTTCGCTTCCACAGGCAGTCCCAGTTTACTGGTCAGCCCCATCTCATTGGGACAAGGTATGCACATCTAATGCAGACAGTAACTTCTTGATCATCATGCAAATATTTATATTTTATTTCTAGAACTTGTTCATAGCCACACTATCAGCTGGACTGGGCTTTCCACCTGAAACCTCTTTAGAGGAATGAAATCTCTGTCTCTTAACCCAGTCTGATAGCCCTGATAGCCTAACTCCTCTCGGGCTTCAGTACTGCCAATACCAACTCATTCAGCCTTTTATGATTCACCTCACACCAGTGGTTCAACACTGATCCTGACTTAAAAAGTGTTGCAAGAATCTAGCCTCAAAGCAACCACAAAGCCTACCCCATCCCGAGGTGACCAGAAACACCTGCCTCAGGAAACCCTTAGTGGCTGGACAGAAAGCCCTCCGCACAACTGGCAGCGGTCTTTGAAGTAACCCTCACTTGTTTGGGAGAAGCAGTATGGGATAAGAGAGCTCCCTAAACCCCACTAGTCATCTGCAAACTTCCCTAAGCAGCAGAAAAGGCAAGCTTGCCTACTCTGCAAAAGAAAACCCTTAAGGAAAGTGGAAAAATGTCATAATGAGCTAATTAAGATATCCGAATGTAATTGCATACTATGCTTTGTTCTAGACTGCGGCTCCTCTCATAATGACACACACAAACAGGCATTATCATGTCTGAACGACCAGCACTAAACAATTACATAAGCTTGTCTTTCTTTCACATAGCTTTTCCCTCCCTTGGCAGGGCTTGCTAGCCTTAAAGAACTAAGGCTCTTCTCAAACAAAATACCTTTCCTCTCGCTCCACTCTCCTTTTGCACGTATTCTGGAAGAGTCACAGCTCCAGTGCTCTTCCTCATATCAGGTTCAAGTCACAAAAGGTCATTTTAGGCTGTTCTGTTTAGGGATAACAATGAGGTTTCCAGAACTCTTTATGGGCTCAGCTGTGTTCAAAAGGAAGACTGACCAACTGACCTTCTCCACGCCTGTAGCAGCTAAGCAGCAGCCAAGTAGCTGCTATTGCTCAGGTGAAGTTGCATAAGGAGCTGTTTCAGCTCTTTTAATTAATTGTACAGTCGTGGTGCAAGTCACTGCATCTTGCTACTGAACAGCATTCTGCAGACCGTCTTCAAGAAATGCTTTATGGACTTTAGTTTAAGAGCTTTTCATTTCCAATACCAAAGCAGTAGCCTCTAAAATTAAACATCTGTCTTACTTTGGTGGTCTCTTTCTTCCACTCCTTTGAAAAGTATTTGCTAAGCTTCTGCTCCAGATCTATAAAAACATATTCATTATCTGAAAAACAAGAGGAAAAAGCACTTAATGATAAAGAATCAGACATTCTTATTAATGAAATACTTAGATGGCAATACAAGATGTTTCCAAGCAATACACTTTAAAACAAAGCTGACCAGGGAATAGACAGGGCAGAGAAAAGAGAGGGCAGTGAGTCTCTTAAGTACATTTGCTACTCCAGACAGTATGGAAGGAAGGCCAGTTACACCCTGATTCAAGAGACACGGAGCTGAAGTTTCCCAAACACCTTTGCCAAAAATGCAGAATTCTTGCTTTCTAAGCAAGAAGCCACTTACAGAAGGGAAACATCATCTTACCAAGCTAATTGTACTGTCAGTTCAGCAGATTATTTTTATTATTATTAATAATAAACAAGCAAGCTCTATCCACTCTGCCATCATGTAGCACCATGGTCCCACCTGGCATAAGTGGACAGAGTCAGGTATTTGACAGGTTTCATCCTCTACATATGATGAATGGAATCCTCCAAAATGGTGAGAAGGAAGAGGACCAAGGAAGGAAGAGGACCAAGCCCAAATGCCCTCCTCAGAAGGTCTGGCATCTCCTGCTCACACCTAACTTCTTTCATAGAGCAAGAAGATGAATGAAAGGAAGGGAAACCTGGCCTTCCTCAAAGGACCAGAACTTGCTCCCCACCCAGGTGAGGGTGAACAAGAGACAGCCTGAACAGCACATTGTCTTGAAACAGCTTTGTGCTGCTTTCAAACCCAATGTTTTGTAACACTGCTTACCAATTATCAAACTCAAACAACTTGGACAGTGAAAGGTTTTTCCCTGAGTCTTCTCAAGTCTCTTAAAGAAAGACTTGACGGGTGTCTCAGGCTTCAGCAGCAATGCCAGCTGAGCACATTCACCTGACTAGTGCCTCTGTTCTTTGGTCTTGCCCAGGGAAGCGTTTTGACAGGTGACGTAAGTGCGAAGTTGAAGAGCTTGTTCCTTAGACGGGAAAGGAGCAGGGAAAACAAACAAAAACCCCCCAACCCTTCACAAAACAACCTTCTGCCCCTGAAGACTACCATGGACATCCAAGCTTTGGTGAAATTTTTCTAATGGAGATTTACAACCAAACGAGAGCCTGCACTTGTGTCTGTACAGCAGATGAAGGACTGGTGGAGGCCTGCGTTACAGCAGGTGTTAAAGGGGGCTCTGAGCTACCTCACAGCCATGCTCCCAGAGCATTCCAGTTCCTTACAGGGGCAGATACAGCACATACTTCCTCTGCAAGCTTTTAAAAAAACAAGCAAGCAAAACAACCCCCTGTCACCACCTCCTTCAGCTCCCACTTCAAGTGAGAGAAACCACACCTGGTTCCAGCCAGAAACAGGAAGCTTTGTGTAGAATACCTGTAACACTGGACAGAGATAAAGAGGACAATGCCCAAAAAAATCCTGCTTCCATCTCTATGCTCTTTCCTGCCTTGTGCCAATTGTAGCTGTAATTTTAATATAATTACACTTCTGTTTACTATGTTGCTTGACATATCACATACGTATACAGCACAGTATTTAAGAGCACTGTTGAAACTGCTGTACAAAAACAACAAAAATTTCAGTGGTGGGAATTTAAGTGCAGTAGCACACAAGGTGATATAGAAGTTGTTTTCCTGTTTTTACAAAGGGAGGAAGAGGTTTTAGCATCACAGAGACTGCATCTTGTACCTGCCTTTTCACTGACGCCTGTAAGATAGGGTGGCTGGGGGGCTCTGCTGGCCCCAACCCTTGCTTCTCTAAGTCCTTTAAGATCAGAGAATGCTGGCTTGAAAAGGTTGATAGAAGTCCTAGTCAGTGAGAGAGATGGGTTTGGTCTGTCTCTTGGACTTCTGTCCCTTGTTAGCTGCCAAGCTGATAAGCATCTCTCTGTAAAGCTTTTCTTAAAAAGTAAATAAAAGCTTATTTAGGAAGTCATTGCACAGCAAGTGACAGGAGCAGGATGACACGAGCAGGGCACCCAGTCCCTCCCGGAGCTTCTGCAGTCCCAGGGCAGGGTGCTCACTCCACCACAGGCTCCCACAGTAGGACTGGGGCTGCTCCCAATAACACAGCAGTGCTGGGTAGAACCTGTCTGGGTACTGCCAGCACCAGGGTGTTTAGCTGCTGCCTTGTAAAGAGGGTGAGGGACCTGCACTCCTCTAACCAACCGTGGGGGTCAGTTTTCCCTTCTCGCTCATGAATGATCCCATGCCCAGAGGTGCTTAGGGAAATATCTGAATTATTCCTCAGCCACAACGAAAGATGGCAACAGCAAGTGTGATGATATGCCCTGAGCGGTGCCATCACACACAGATACTGGGACAGAAAGGGCAAATGGACGACAGAGCAGTTCTACCATAGTAAGGCCAATTGTTACCCACACCCCACAACCCCTATTTATCTCTGTCATGTTAATTGGGTTAGAGAGATGACTCTAGGAGGGCCCAGATGCCAAGCCTGAGGAGTCCAGGTCATTACTGTGCCTACTGCGGTGGACATAAACCCCAAGAATAAGCCAGGCTGAAGGATGAGAACACCTTGATGTATCAGCTCTCCCTGGGGGTCCCACTCCTCCCCAGTCCAGCCCAGCATCCTCCCAGTCCTCCCTCTCCTGCAAGAATGCAGTACTGCATTCTTGCCTTAATAAAGTTAATATTGCTGGAATGTCAACCTGCAGTGTAAGCCTCCATCTACAAAAACAAAGAGGTATTTCCCTCCCCAGCCCTATGTGGGTTGTGGTGTTTTGGTTTGGGTTTCCCCCCCCCCTTAAACTTGATTAGTGGTGAAACTTCAAGATCTTTTGCCAGATGCTAAAACTGTCTCTGCTTTGAAAACAAGCATCTCTAACAGAGATTAGGGCACCAAATTACAGCACCTCAGAGCAGTGCTGTAAAGAACAGTATAGAAATGCACAGATGGCCACCCTTCCAGGGAAGAATGTGTTTGATCTGTGGATCCAAACAGGGCTGGATACTCAGCAGGTAGAAACTGTCACTGCTTCACTGGCCTCAGCTGAAGGACAACAACTAAAAGGTACTAAGAAGCTGGCTTAGAAGCATGCACATGTGCGAATACATGCCTGTCCAACTGCAGCTACTGACACAGCGTTCATGAATCTCATTTCAGCGCTGTCAATGAGCTTAAAAACATATCATATCAGCTTCTCTTAAAAGGTTCCCTCATGTATGCGTGTACAGATACCAGACCTGGCACAACACACCAGTGCACTCTGCACTGCAATCCCAAGAAACACATCTGGACAGGCAGCTAGTTTGCAGCAACACAATTTACACGCTTCTCCCAATTACAGCTTTTAAGAGCCCTCAAGTGAAATAGAAAGTTTATGCTGTGAAAATCCTACTTGAAATTAAGCAGTCACCAGAAATGCAAAAATTCAAGTGTTCCTACTCTGCAAAATTAGCTTAGCATATGTGCATATTTAGGCAAATATAGGACGTGCATTGTTGCAAAAAAAAAAAAAAAAAAAAAAAAAAAAAGGGACAGGTTTCCAGTAAGAAAAAAGTGAGACAGATCCAGTGAGTGATGCAGATTTACAATAGGCATTATTTACACAGCAGGGAAAACAGGAATAGACAATTACTGCTCTAATACAGGGTCAAATCAGTTCTGAGTCATTATTACTCTAAAAGCCATTACTTTGCATTAACCAGTGCCTCCCCATTTAATTTTTTTATGAAAGGTAAGTTCCCTGAAGAAAAGATAATGGTGAATGCCAATACCCTGTTCTCCTCCTGTGCCCATTTTGGGCTAGAAGCACTGAGAAATTCCACAGAGGTAAGTCTTGTTCTACCAAGAAGCAGAGCTCAGTCCCCGCTGGCAGCCAGGAATGTTCCATTAACTCCTTTGGTTGAGTCAAGTATATTTTAATATTATAACTATTTAGACAGTCCAGAAGACTAGTATTCAAATAAAATATGAATTAGTGCAAAGCCAAACTTCCACATGGCAGGCATTTTCTTCCCTAAAGAGAAAGGGAAAAAGTTATCCTTGGCTATAACATTTAACTTCTCCCAGATGCTGCAAGAAGCCTTGTGGCAACACCACTATTTCCCTTGAGAAGCAACAGGAAAGATACCAGGAGTGAACAGAGGGACACTGGGGTCAGGGGGAGAGCTAAAGCTTAATAAAAAGACAGCACTCAAAAATACTTTGCAACACATGCTGTGCACCTCGCATAACCTGTTTAACTTCTCTGAATACCAGCATGGGGTTTTTTTGTTTATTGAAGAAGAGCCAGCTACACACTCCTTTTGCATGTGGAACTCCCGAGGCTTCCAAGTGCTGGTGGCCTGGGAACATCACTATCCACATAACATCTGCTCCCACCACCTCTATACAACTTCTCACAGCTCCTGGTTTTACCTTTTAAGTCAACAGAAAGAAACCTTGTTGACTTTTCAACACCTGGTTGATTAGTTTACTACGGGGTCTAGAAGAACTTTGTTCAGGACAACCTTATGTTTTTAACTTTAGCTGGAAAATACCTATATCCCAAGTGAAGAAGGGAAGAACCACAACAGAGGCTCGGAGTAAATCAAGGGAGGTCCTGGCTGAGGTCGCTTTACCTGGGATGGAAGGAAGGCATATGGAGGGAAGAATGGAAGGAGGCAATATCAAGAAACTCAAGATGGCGTGGCTGTTAGGAACTGCTGAGGTCTGAAGACTAAGAAAAAGGCTCAGTCATTCCTGACAATGGATAGGTACTGCAGGAATTTATGTTGGCATCTTACAGTTAGCAACAAGGCATGCCCAGGCAAAGATCTCCAGACTTTTGGCAGCGTCACAGGGGATTCTTCTGCACAAAAAGAGCAGCAGAACCATTTCCAGCACTGCTCACCCAGGAGCAAACAAGTCCCTTGCAATTCTCAGGCAGGAGAGCACTTGGCTGGACGTTGCACTGATACTGAAGGAGAAACAACTGACAGCAGATAAAGGCAAAAAAAGTCTTCCTAGAAAGAGACCATGCAAGTACTTCCAAGGAGTATTAGATACTTTTTGAACACCTGAACTCCTGCAGTTCCCTCTAGGTGGCACATTTCTGCACATGTTTTTCTTACATTGCATTTAACTCACCTGAGGTATCAAAGTTGTTATAATGTATCTTAGGTTAGAATACCGAAGAAATTCATAAGGAAGATGCAACTATCCAATCAGATTTAAGGGAAGAGAAGCAGAAGCAGGGATGGTGGGGAAGGACTGGAAAGTACAAATCATCAGAGGATATTTTGGAGAACTTCTGTTGCCATCTGTCTTCTTAAGAGACCCTTTGTTAAAATAGATAACCACATAATATAAAGATAACATGGTAGCGTATTCCATCCATGAACTTCAGTACTGGAGGATACACAGATGCAGAAGAGTCAAATGGAGACAGAGCGGTCTTGGCAGAGTTAACCACCAAGCTCCTTGCTAAGCAAGTGCTGGGAGGCATGGGTCTGGCAAGGTGAACAGCCATAGCTGTTATAACTGAAGGATGATCCCTGAGGCAGGGGAGCTGAAGCAAAGGGATTTGGTTTTGTTAGAAAGCCAGGCCAATAAACTGCCAAGGACACAGAGAGAAAGCGGCAGGATGTAGGAACTGCAAGCTTGGTCCTTCCCAATCAAAGGCTTCCATCTGCTTGGGTAAAGCAAGGTTTGCTCTTAGAAAGGAGAAGCCCAAGATTCAGGATCACAGGGATCTGGGTTATAACAACAAAGGAGGCTTGGCTGTTCTTTGTCTGCTGACAATCAGTTTTGTTTTAGAAGACTGAACTGTGTCGCTGCATACACTTTCTGATAACAAGAGGGAAACCTCCTGCAGGGCAGTAGATAAGGTTGACCCTACAGGAGGAGCTGCAGTATAAGACCCAGCTGCTGAAGCCTATGGAGCCAGCTCGAACCTGGCAGGGTTGCAGGGTCTTTCAATGAGCAAACTAAAAGGAAAAAATGCACTTCAGCAGCAGCACGCAAGGCATAGCCTGCTTGATGATCTGTGACAAAACTAGAAGAGCAACAAAGTCCCAAGCTTTGTGCTACTGTGACTTCCCTTTAATACACACTCCTGAACCTAGTTTTCAAAGGGATCAAATTATCTTTACAGACACAAGCTTTCACCCCCCCGATACAGTTGGTTGAAGGGATTTTTGTCTTGAGAATAAAAAAGCTCAAGAGCAAGAAGGGTGAAAAATTCTGTTCTCCCACTATTACTGTTACCTTTAATCCTGAAGCTTGCCCTCAGCATCTGTAACAATCAGAAGTGAAGGCAATGAATTTAGGCAACAAATAATGAAAGATACGCTCCAAGACCTAGAGCTTTGATCTCAAAGCATTCCTGGTTTGCAGTTTGCACAGTGCTTTGTGGTGCTGTTTTCATTTTTGCCACACTTAGGGGTTAAACTTCTGTTCATGATTAAGGAACCCAACCTCTCCCCCTCACACACATACTTACTATGAGATCAGCTGAGCGTTAGTCTATCTGTACAACGTCTGCAGGTCAAATGGGCTCCTAATCCAGATAATCCACCCAGTGTGATTGGCTCAGTTCTGTGGAAATCCCTTAATTTTCATTCTCTTGCCACTGCTGACAGTCAGGGTTTTTTTGACAAATTAGTAGCAAGGTAATGGACGCAGGTGGATTTACAATACCTTGTTCTGCACATGGAAGCATCACACTGCCAAAACCAAATACACATTAAGAACCCAGGAAATACACTGTTACTAAAACAGGGCAGTTTTTTCTTAAAAATTGACATCTTGGAGCAGCAGCATCAAGAGGCGAAACGACAATGCAGAAAAACACAGAGGCTTCCTCTTCAGTTTTCAGACATCTAACCTGCCCTTGCCTCACAGACCAGCCCCACACCTTCCCTTTGCAGCCTCTGCGGGACATACATTGTACATCGACTTAAGGCAGCTGATTTAAGTACCTGCAAGACAACCCTGGGCAATGCAAAACTTACCCAAGCCTCCCCATAACCTGACCAGGTTGCTTCCCTTTCTTGAGATGATAGCTTGCCGTGAAACCAAAAATTCCTGAAAAGCAGGCAATGCCTTAAAGACTACTTCAGAATGCAAGAGATGGAATGTGCTGCATTTCCAACAGAAGCAAGACCTCCCTTACCACTGGCAGCAAGGGAGACGATCACAAGTCAGTTGGCCAAAACAGGGGCGTGGGAGGTGGGAAATCAAGTTGGGGAACAGAAAACCAAAAGACTTCCTTTGCTACAGCTCTACAGTAATAAACCTGGAGCTATTTTAAAAACAAAACAAAATAAAATAAAATTCTAAAACCCACCCCACAAAACTCCAGTCAGCAGCTTACTGGACTTTCAAAGACTAAAAGGTAGGGACCAGAAGAAGGAATAACAAACAGATCAGGTTTACTCCCTCTCTCTGGAGCAGGCTGCAGTCTTCCTGGTGGCTGTGGCTGAGAAATTCACTGCTGACACTTTGCTGTTGTCCAGCCCCAAGAGTTTCTTAAACAGAGGCACAAACAAAAAGAAATCTCTTCCTCATCCAAAATCCTGACACCTGCCTGGGTGGCAGAGGGAGATGGCTGTCATGAGAAACCAGGGTGAGCATACAGAGCA